ATTGTTGTGAACTGCCCAGAATTGTTAGTAGTTGGGCAGCCTACATTTCTAAATCATTACCATTTCTATTTATATGTGAAACGGAGCTTTAAGAATTTGTCCTAGACATCTGAAGAACAATGGCATATTTGTATCACTTACCCATTTTATTTTTATTAGCTAAGAAACTATCCAAGTGCAATCAATGTAGCCGTTTATGTCTTCTGTGTTTTCTTTCTAGTCTCTGTGGCAGGGGTCTTCAAACTTGGCCCTTTTATGACTTGTGGACTTCAACTCACAGAATTCCTCAGCCAGGCATGCTGGCTGAGGAATTCTGGGAGTTGAAGTCCACAAGTCATAAAAGGGCCAAGTTTGAAGAGCCCTGCTCTGTGGCACAGACCACTCTGAAATATTATTGGTATCTATAACTCTAACTACAGTATCTAATATAATAAGAAATAAGACTTTATTCTGATGAAATAAAGTCACCTCTAATACCATGAAGTGTTCACAGGATACTGTAGACTTCCTACTCAAACTTAATATTTTAGTAACAGAAGCACACCTGAATAGTCATAAGGAAACAATATTTTTTCTCCCATAAAGATTGGATGGAATGTGACTGCTTTCCTCTCATGCATCAATAATAGTAACCTATTTTTGGATAGGTGCCAACCATAGCAAATTGAAAAATGGGACTGTTTGGCTGGCGTTAAATGCTACTTAGTTCAAGACTGTCTTGTAATAGTTATTCCTACTTCATTTATTGTTAAGTTTCACAAAAATGTAAAATCCATTATCACCCATTTTTCTTTCCAACTGAGTATCTTGCAAACTGAAATCTACAATTTTTGTGGATGGAACATCCCCCAAAGCAATATGGTTCGATAGTACTGAGCACAAACTACAGTGAAAGAATAGTTTCTGATAGTCACAATGCAACTTCCACTATTTAAATCAATTGTGAAAGCATAATCGAAGACTAAATCAAACATATCTCCATTTTCTTTTAATAAATTGGACTATTATAATATTCCTGCAGGCTGGGATGAAAGAGAAGTGCAGTTAAAGATTAATCATATTGGGAAAGCTAATCTATAATCATAATTCTCTATTTGGATTTTAATGCAAAGTCTTTAAAAAAAAAGGTTGAATACATTACAGCCTTGGGTGATCCCCCCCTTTTTAACAGAATTTCTCTTGATTCAAAAGTAAAAAAGAAAGCAAAATGAGGAACTCCATAATTATCCAGTTTCAAAACTAAGATTTATCACTTGATTATAATTATATCTATTTAGGAATCTGACTGATTTACTTCCATGGGGCTTATGGCCAAAAGACAATTTTCTAGAAACAAAATGTATTATTTTTTGAAGCAATGAGAATCAAAACATACAGTTTTTAAAACGGGGGCGCTACATTTTCGATGCAATGAACAATTATTAGTTGAACCACATATTCCTTTCTGCTAGTAACAATTGCATCTTACTTCAGGGGTAAAATATGTCCTTATTCTCATTCACATTCCAAATCTATATACCGTAAATGAATATCAGCCCTTTTGTTCTTAGATGGTTTGGGAATAAAGAACAAAAATAAAGCAAGTTGCAATCTTGCATTTTTCCCCCCACTGATTTACTTTGCCTCATATCTATTTCAAAAGAATGAAAGCTCAGCAACTCTAATAATCCTTGCTGTGTTAGGTTACCAAAGAACCTCAAAATAGCTGCCTTAGAGTGGCTGTTATGAAAATATCAGAAGACAGTGGTTCTGCAATAGAAGCACAAAATAGAAACCAATTAATAAAACATGCTAATAATTCATTGATGCTAAATAGTTATTATTTTGACAAAGATCTTGTAATCCTGTGAACCCTACTTATACACGTTGCCTTCTGCATTATGCCCATTTACAGTAAATGAAAGCAACAGCTATCTTCTTTCTATGCTTCTTAATCAAGAATAATGCCTGAGAATAAGTCATTGCCTTTTCTAAACACATGTTGACCCCATCCTTAAATATATGAGGTGGTACACAGAAGTGTGTTGCTTATAAAAGAGAGGCAAAAGGATCTTTCACAGCTTATAATTCTGGGGAAGAAAAGTTTAGAAGCAAACAATTTTGGAGTTTTAAATTGTCAGAAAATTTTCTATTTATTCTATCAAGGAAAAGAGCTGACAATTCTCAAACAACTATACAGTCCTAAGTCAGAACTGCTCCCCACATTTCAAATGGCCTGTAAAATGTAAAATAATAAACTGTTTAACATTCTTGCATAAAGATTTTTGTCATATTCTCAGGATTCTATTGTTGCCATGCAGTTCTGATGAAATAATTAACAGGAACACTCTAAGCCTAGGGTAAGGGAGTGTTATGAAGTCTGCCAGCAAGTGCAAGAAGCAGCATGACACAAGCTTCATAGGTTAGTCAATGACTGGACTTGCCAATCATTATGGATTAGTGCTTCCTAATAATTCTGGGAATTCTGCATTGCAAGATATGGGGTTTTATTGACCAGTTTTAAATTACAATTCGCAGAGTCACCTATTGTAACAATGAGCCTTTCTTTTGAGGTCCTTTGTTCTGGAGCTAAGTCACACCTACAGCTGAACAATGACTGGAAATATAGGTACTTTTGCTGTCACAGAAACCCCTCTGTTACAAACTAGTTCCTCCCTTCCACACCAGCCCTCTGGTGAACCAGGAGAGGCCTCAAAGGGAAATCTTCACCCCATCCCACCTCTAGATAAGACTATCTAGCGGGAAACCAAACAAAATTTGGGAGAATCAATAGCTTAGCCAAGTTGAGGCAGAATGTTAGAATATTCTAAGATTTAAACAAAACTTAATTTATTAAAGGAGCCAAACCAAGGTAAGGTTAAACACACACACACACACACACACACACACGCACGCACACACACACACACACACACACAAACCACAGTTAAAAGGAGATTAAAAAACAATCCCTCAAACCCCAATGCAATTCCTGCTAGAGTGAAATACATCAATTTCCAACCTTGCCCAAGGTACCCCCCCTCTCCCACACCAATCCAGATTTTTAATAACTCTCTTCAAAACCCAAAAAACTATTCCCATCTCAAAACCTGAGAGAAACCACTTCTTTTCCTTTATTGGCTCTTGGGGATCAGGTGACACCCTCCCAGCACATAAGGCTGGTTTATTACAAAAAGGGCCAGCAGGGGCTCACTATACCTGTCAGCAGGGGATTATTGTTAAACCATTTTAATTCCATAATGCAAACAATCCAACAAGAACCAAGGGAGCCAGAAAGGAAGTACTCAGAAGAATGCCAGACATTCTCAAACAATTACTAAATTCTAGGACTATTAAATTGCATTAGTTATGGATATAGTTTCATAGTGTATATACAAACTAATCTGAAGTGAACTTTGCAATATTTTTTTTTAAAAAATATCACAGCAATAAAGCTACTTATCAAATGGAGATACTTTATCTCTTTTTGTGAACAGTTACTGAGAAAACCTCTTCATTTACTTTTCGAAATGTAATTGAATTTTTTCCCCCTCAATTCTCTTGGAATTAGATTTGATGATATAGTACTCTAAAATCTAATATGATTACAAGTGGTCTTCATTATTTGCTGTTCCAACCTGTCAACCACACATTTTAAAAAAAACTAGATAATTATACCTTGAAAAGAAGTGTAGTACACATCTGGAAATGTTGCTCTGCCATGACATACAGGCAGAACATAACAATAACTACTTTTCATGGATAATCAGGAATCCTTTAAAAAAAACATGGTTATGTAAAACCATATGGCACTGTGGATAACAAGTTCTTTATGCATATTATAGAAGATTTAACTATATACCAAGGAGCTAAATGCAATCTTTTCAATATGGGGGCTTGGATATGGAAACTTGAATACATGTTCAGCCAGGAATGTCACTAAGTAATTATCTAAGTATAGATAATCTAATCTATATTACCTAGTTACCAAGGTAAAATAAAATTGTAATCTCCTGTACAATGAATGCATACATATTTTTCCTACTTAAGGGTCACTCTTATATAAGAAGTTAATGCTGAGTTGCATATATTTTTCTAAACTGAATTATATTCTAATTAACAATGGGTAATTGCTGAATGACCTTCAAAATCTTCCAGTTCTAACAGATTAATAAGCTAGAGTGTATATATAATAGCAAAGCCAACTGTTAGCAAAACACTATCCTAAAGCAAAGCCCATCATTACCCTTTGCCATTTAAATATTACCAAAAACAATCTTTAGGGTTACCTGTGCAGTCCAATCCTAAGAATATTTATTTAAGTGATTCCTATTAAAATAGTGGCCAATCTGATCCTATATAATTTTACAAAGAAATACAATAAGTTAGTTTATTATCAAATTTGGCTATTGAGAATGGTCACCTATTATAATTCTAAACTGAAGTTACTTCCAAGTTGCATTGAATTTAGGTCCAAAATAAATATGTGAGTCTAGAATTACTGCTACCTATGAATGCCCTCTTCTGAATAATGTCATAGAAATAAATCATATTGAGGAAATAAATGTTCATTTTGACAGCTAAGACAAGCACAAACATTTAAAAAACATACTTTGCCACACCTTCCTTTGAAGGCTTTATTGTTGAAATATACTGGTAATATTCTTCAACTAACATAATATATGTTTGGATGAAATTTGAAGTATTATTTCTCTTCTCTTTAACAGAACTGTCCAAAAGATAGTTCTGTGAATATTTAAAACTTATAACTTTAACAATTCTTTTGGTTACACATATATAAAGAAAAATACCTTTCATAATGAACCATCATGACATTAGAAGCAAACTGATATATTAGATGTCTAGACCACGTCCTTTGCATATTGCTAAATCATTGAAGATTATTATCATGGATAAATAAGTGAAATGTAGCATCTGACCTCCTTCTGATTCAGATGACCTAATGTCAAATATAGTTACAAAGGCAGTGTTCAAAAACCATTATTGTATAATTTACTCACCCCATTCACTGCTGTCTTCTGGATATCCCAGATTATGCTTCCACTTGCAGAATTTGCAGATGCTACTGAATAGCTGACAGGTCCATCAATAGTGCTTCTTTCAAATAAAAAATTAAAAAGTAGTGAGAAGTAAGGCAAGGAAAAATATAATTATATTATATAATTATATATAATAATAGAGAGAGAGAGAGAGAGAGAGAGAGAGAGAGAGAGAGAGAGAGAGAGAGAGAGAGAGAGAGAGAGAGAGAGAGAGAGAGATGGAACTGTGGTGGCGAAATGGTTAGAATGCAGTATTGCAGGCTAATTCTGATGAGAAGCGATTGCCGGCAGTTCAGCAGTTCGATCCCCCACCAGCTCAAGGTTGACTCAACCTTCCAACTTTCTGAGGTCATTAAAATGAGGACCCAAATTGTTGGGGGCAATATGTTCACTCTGTAAATGCTTAGAGAGGGCTGTAAAGCATTGTGAAGTGGTATATAAGTCTAGGTGCTAATAGCAAAGTTTCAACAAATTTCTAAAAATCTATGTATTTTGAATAACTGGAGCTGAAAACTCACTTCAAAGCACTCTTAAAAACCTTGTTTCAAAAAGCACAAACTATACTGTATTAATTTACAATTTCTAATCCTTTTTTTGTTTTCTATTTTCAAGCATGTTGTAAAAACATTCATGTGTATATAAATGTGTGTGTAGAACAATGATTCAGTAAAGAAATCTACAAGCATAGGCTTTATATTTTCTGTATGTATTCCTCTGTTTAATATATATGGATTAAAAGGTCTACCCACGTACAAAACTATGCACAGTCAGAATTGTTTGGAGGCCAAGTAACATTGTACAATTTTCATCCATATTTCATCAATACACTATACAATTTTACTGTGATGTGAACATTTCTATTTGTATGTAATTCATACTTGCCATTTAAACACACAAATACAAACTATAATCTGCAACATTATTTAAGAAGAATTCAATACAGTGTGCTCACCGATTCCTACTTTGAATTTCTAATCAGGAACATTCTAGATGGCTTGGTTTTTTACATGATCTGAACTGATTTTTAATAGACCAATATTTTGTTTTCTACTTATAATATAAAAGGCTCAAGAATTTTTGCTGGTGAATATATCAACACTTTCCAAAAGTTAAAGTAGAAATGAACCCTCAGATCATGTCAAATTATTTTCCTCTCAAGTATCTTAAATACAGAGATATAAGCACACTAGAAAGCTTAAAGCAAAATGTTCTACATTTACAGAGTTTGTTTTTTTTAAACAAGAGCTGTGAGTTCATATCTAACTAAATGTACTATAGAGGCAATCTGCATTTACACTGAATAATAGGTCTATTACTTTCTACGAAAGCCCATATTGCATCCTTTCACCACTAGATAAATTAGCCTAGTACATCTATTCTGAACAGATTTAGAAAACAGAATGGGAACCCTTAAAGCATGAGTTGTTAAGATATCTATTGATCTGAGAGAGGAAAAAGAATACTAGGCCCAGATAAGAGCCTCAAGGAAAATACTGTACAACCTGAATGCTGCAATATCAGGATTATATCTGGCACAGCACAACTCTCTGTCTAATTATATTTCTAGTTGGCTTGACTTGAAAACGTATTCAGTAAGAAGTAAGACAGAAAAAGAGCACATTCCTTTGATCAAGGACCGATTTCTTATCTTGTTCTCTCAGGACTCTTGTCCCAAAGGATATCCTCAATGGCAACTCATGTCAAAGATCATCTGGCCAGAGTTCTGTCTTCTATCTAAACCAGGGCTCTTCAAAACTGGCCCTTTTATACAGGGCTTTTTTTTGTCATAAAACACCTAGAACGGAGTTCCGGCACCTTTTTTGGATGGAACCTTGTAGGGTAGGCAAGGCGCGTTGTATGACGTGTGAGTTCCGGCATCTTTTTTTTTTTTTTTTTTTTTTTTTTTTTTTTTTTTACAAAAAAAGCACTGCTTTTATAACCTGTGGACTTCAACTCCCAGAATTCCTCAGCCAGCCATGCTGGAGTTGAAGTCCACAAGTCATAAAAGGGCCAACTTTGAAGACTCCTGATCTAAACAAATCCTCTGATGCAATTGACTGTAGCAGCTTCTGCTAGACAACATCTTCTTTTGAATCAGAACTAAGCAAGCAAGTAAATGGAAAATGATATGTTTACTTCATCTTCAATTGCTAAATCTGATGTTTCTGAAAATAATTATCTCAATCCAGTCAATCCAAATTTGATTTCTTTAACAAAGGCTTTCATCACTACTTCTTATATCCTTCAAGAGGCATTTATTCCTCCAAAGTCCTTATCTCCAAACCAATTCTGGTAGTTTTTAATAGCTAGGAAGTTAAGGAAGAAGTAGTTAGGAAGTCTGTCCATCCTCATAGAACCTAAAAGCCCTATGAAATTATTTTACGTATCACTCAAGAAGCCTACAGTTAGTCCCACAACTAATTTTACATCTCCCTGGCACTATTACTACAAGTCTCCAAACAGGTCTTTTAATTAATTCTGCCTACATTAGGTTTTAGATTTTATGCAGTCATACTGCGTTTACAAGGATATTAAATGTATTTATTAATTAATTTCATTGTTTCATTGTTGGTCTCACTTTATGCTAGAGTCATGTTCCCTGAAAATCTCACATTAAGCAAACCACATAAAGCAAGACATTGAACCAGGATAAAAAATGGGATTCTGGAACATGATATCAAATTTTGTAGCCAACAAATGTTGTCATACATTTTTAGAGCGCTATTCATAAGCACTTCATTACTCAACTATGTTTTTTCCCAGTCTCTGTGTATAGGAAAAGCATTTTTCCCATAACTGGATTTCTAATGTGCCTGGTTATCATAGCAGAAAGAGGCAGAATGCATCACAACACTATGAATTTTATTAGCATTCTTTATTTTGTCAGGCCCACTAGATTTCTCCAGGTTAAAAGAAGTCTTAGGGGTAAGGATCTTTCACCAGCTTCACAGTGATGCAAAATTTCTCCTTTTGTTTCTAGTATTAGAAGAATTCTTTTCTTTGGATAAGACATTATTTTGATCTTTTAACAGTAGTAGCTATTGCAGGTGAACAAATAAATGGGAAACAGGATACAACTAGAACAATCTCACAGAATAATGGTAAATGTGTTCTGATGTTTTCAGCAGGAAAATGTTCAAACAGTTTTATGTGGAAAGAAGGATTTATTGCAGAAATTGCAATAGCCTTTGCTTTTTCATATAAAGCCAATTCTTAGATTAAAATAATCAATTCCCTAATAGGGAATTTGCCCTAAGCGAAGAAGCCTGCATTAGTGGTGTAAAGGGGAAGGCTTCGGATATATTAGTCACGATGTCAGTAGCTGGTCCAATCAAAAGATGTACAAAAGAGATGGTTTGCATCCATCAAAAAAAGGGACTGAGTTACTCGGCTATAAATTCACAGATTTTCTGGAGGGAAATTTAAACTAAACAGCGGGGACAGGGAGTTAATTGATACGGAACAACCCTGTCCCCGGCAATTTAAAAACTATAGGGTTATCAGTGCATATAGCATAGATGTGTGTGTGGACAAGAATACCAACCTTGCTACCAATCAAAATGAAGCCTCTAATAGCGAGTGCCACATAAAGTGCACTAACCAAATAGGTGGTAAGACAATAGGGGAACTCAGGCACCACACAGGTTATGTAGAAATGAAACACAGGGCCACCCACAAAGGACTCAAATGTTTATACACCAATGCACAGAGTATGAACAGCAAACAGGGTGAACTAGAAATTCAGGTTAACGAGGGCAGATACGATATTGTTGCCATTACGGAAACATGGTGGGATAAAACTCACACATGGAACACACAGCTAGAGGGATTTAAATTATTTAAAAGAAACAGACCAAATAAAAGAGGAGGTGGAGTTGCTCTCTATATAAGAAATAACTACATCTCCACAGAAATAGAGTACAACAATGATAAAAACTGTCTTGAATGCATTTGGGTCAATATAAAAGGGGGGGGGAAATGACATTGCCATAGGTGTATACTACAGACCACCCAACCAAACAGAGGAAATAGATGAACTTTTTGCTAGTCAGCTAACTAAGGTATGTAGGAAGCACACCACAATAGTAATGGGGGACTTTAACTACCCTGACATCAACTGGGAGACAAACTCCGCACCAAGTGGAAGATCAAACAGGTTCCTGGCAAACCTAGCAGACAACTTTGTCTCCCAAAAAGTAGAGAAGGGAACTAGGGGATTAGCCATTTTGGATCTAATTCTCACTAACAGAGATGAAATGATAGACGGTGTTGAAGCCATAGGAACCCTGGGAGGAAGTGATCATGCAATATTAGAATTCAACATTATAGAAGCACAACCAATAGAACACAGTCAAACTAGAGTCTTGGACTTCAAGAGAGCTAATTTCAATAAACTTAGAGAGGGCTTGGGAAGGATTCCATGGATGAGAATCCTCAAGGGGAAAACAACTCAAGAAGCTTGGGAAATTTTGAAAAATGAGATAATAAAAGCACAGTCTAGCACAATACCAACAAAGAGGAAAAATAACAGCTCTCAAAAGAAACCAGCATGGCTGCATAAAGAACTCTCTGACAAATTGAAAGATAAAAAGGACAAGTACAGAAAGTGGAAAGAGGGGAACATAACTAAGTCAGAATATCAGCAAATAGCCCGAGCCTGCAAAGATGAAGTGAAGAAAGCCAAGGCTCAAAATGAACTAAGGCTTGCGACCAAAGTCAAAAATAACAAAAAAAGCTTCTTTCAACATGTAAAAAACAAGAAAAAAGTGAAGGAAATGATTGGTCCATTAGTGGGTGGAAGTGGCAAGAAGGTGACAAGCAACAGGGAGAAAGCAGAACTATTTAACTCATTTTTTGCATCTGTCTTTACACAAAGGGAAAAAACAGACCAACCTATCAAAAATAGTGCCATAAAAAACAAAACAGAAACACAAGTTAAGATAGGCAAGAAAATGGTTAGGGAGCACCTGTCCAGCCTAGATGAGTTCAAATCGCCAGGACCAGATGGATTACACCCCAGAGTTCTCAAGGAACTGGCAGATGTGATATCGGAGCCAC